AAGACTTGTGAATTATATTGCAGTGAAAAAAATAAGATGCTTTATTTATTTATTTATTTTTTACTAGAGAGAGTTGGGGGTTGGGGGAGAGGGTGAGGGAGAGAGAGAACTTTTAGCAGCTTCCAAGCCCAGTGTGTGAGCCTGATGTGGGGCTCAATCCCAAAACCCTGAGATTGTGACATGAGCTGAAATAAAAAGTTGGGCACTTAACTGACCTGTCCAGGCACCCCCCCACCCACCAAATAAAGTGCTTTTCAAAAAGAGGTGGGGTGTTTGAGGTAGCCTCTAGGTTCCTTTCTAGCCTCTGTGGCACTTTGTTCAGAAGGTACCGTGAACCAGCGGTTCAGAGTGACAACTCCGGTTCTCTTGCCGTCTGTTCCATGTGCCGCTGCTGTGGATTTCTCAGGGGGCTCGGGTTCTTCTCTTTCTTCTCCAAAGCACAGCTCACACGAGGTGGCCATGTTTGACACACTTCACTAACCATTGAGGATATTTAAAGAAATTGCATCACAGAAAAGCGACACTTAAATGTGCCCCTGTTAGGAGGCTCTTTTTGGGTGTCCAGGTAGCTCCTAAGCACTGGTTTATACCCAGGTCCCCGGAATGCTGCCATTTCCTTAGGGGGACATGCTCTCCCTCGGCCAGAGCAGCAGAAACCCTGAATCACGAACTGTCAGCTCCCACTCAAATGCATGAGCCAGCTCTCCACCCCCTGCTGCCACCATCACCTTCTGAAACCTGCCAGATTCTGTGAAGCATGCTTGAGTCCTGCTTTGATGGTTGTAGAGTAACCGCACACAAATATCTTACCTAATCGAAGCCCTGTGCTAAGTCCGTTGCCTGCTAAATGGACAGGGATTTGTGACAGCTGCCTCGTTGTTCACCCAGGCAGGATCCATTAATGTTGTTTCAGCAGAACTGGGTCAGATGGGCAACCAGCCAGGGCGGGAGCATGGCCTTGGACAACCTACAAAGATGAAAAAGATTTGGACTTTAGCAGTTGTCTATGTAAAAGAGCCCAGGCTCCAAAACGTCTCAGTATCTGCATCACTAACCCGCCCAGGCATCCCGCTGTTTTCAGCCAGGAGAAGAACTTTAAAACCATGCTCTTGCTGTGGGTAAAATCTTTTCTGGAGCTTCTAATAGACTTCTCTAATACCTTTCTGCCCAAAGTGGGGTCATGGGGCTACTCCAGACCAGCGACTGTTAGGCTTGTGAAAGCGGGGCTCTGCGAGCAGGCATGCAGGGTAATGGGTGTTGGGAAAACGGCCAGTGGGATCTGCACAAGATTGTTACACTGAAGATGTAGTGATATATTTTAATGTGTGTGATACTACTGACAGGAAAAATGAATGTCAGAAAGCATTCAGAAGACAGGTCACAGATCATTTGAAATGGGCGATTCGTGTTTACTTTCTCTGTCTTGATGGTTGTTGATGTTTACCTCTGCCTGAGGTAGCCAGTCTTCTGGGTTTGCCCGGCTTGATGAGAAGCCTGCCGTTCACGTGGGGGAAGTGTAATCTCTCACCATGACTATTTCAGCACTTTTTCAGGTTTTCCATTAACAGGTTGAGGCACTCTGGAATGATTTTGTTTTCTGGGTGAGCAGTTTGGGGCATTTCCCTACCCGTTTCTGGAGTGGAAGAAGGAAGAACAGATACCTCCTTTTCCAAACACGACATGAGAAAACAATCACCAATTGATTGGTAACAACCAAGCCAATTTCTAAAGTGCACAGCCTGTGAATCAGGAAGTTTAAGACAGGAAGGTACAGTAATATAAAGGAGACTATTCTTGTCCTCTGGGGACTCACAATTGTCTGTAACTATTCATGCATGAAAGTGGTGTTCATTAAATATGGTAGAGTTACACAGTCACCTAAAGGACCCTGGAAGTTACTGTTTCACACCTCAGGATGCAAGGGAAGTCAGGAGCCCAGACCAGGTGGATGAAGCCAAGGAGATGATGAATCACATTTTTGGTGAAATGTGGGTCCCTGCTGGGGAGAGCCTTGTGAGCTGTGTGGTTCAGACTGCAAAGCTGTATCAATACATAGTTCCCAGAGTCATGGGGGCATTGTGAAAACTAGCCATAGATGAGATGCTGTTGCCGAAGAGTAGTCCTAGGAATGCCCCTTAAAGAGTTTCTAGTATTATATATGATCCTCAGAAAGATGTTCAGGTCTTTGCATTATCCCTTACCAGGCGGAAAAGTGAAATTTCCTGGACAAGATTTCCCTTCAGAGGTATTGGCAAACTGTTTTGATGACCAAGGGCCTTCCTTCCAGCTGCCCCCTACAAAGCTCATAGAGAAGAAAATAGAAAGTGAAATTTCTTAAAGTGTGGTGACCGTTCAACAGTAAAGTGTCTTTAGAATTGGAGTTCCTTTGAGTGAGGCAGTATCTCTAAGATTTCTGTCCATTTTTCCCAAGTCCTTGGACCTCCTGGGACAATGAACATGGAGAGGCCATGCGGCTTGTGTACATACAAGGAAGGACCTTCTCTCTGTGGCTGATCCTGGGGCTCTTGTAGTGGAGATCTGCCTCCAAACCTCAACTCCCTTATCCCTTGACCAGAAGGCTCGGTAGGAACTGTGAGAGGAGGTCCAGGACCTTGAGCCTAAGTGGGGACTGGGAATGTGACATATTTGTATGATAGACGATTGCTTCCCTTATCACAATACTCTTGGTCACCTATGATCTTGGGCTTGAGGACTTGCTGTAATCCAGTCTGATAAAAATAACACTGAGAGGAAGCCCCTGTGAGCACGAGGGTTCAGCCTGTGGGTTTGTTGCTGAGCAGTGATGAGGGAACTGGCCTTGTCTGGGGCTGCACTGAGCTGCCTCTTTCTGGATTCTGGTTCCACTTCAGAGATGAGGCTTGTGGGTCCTGGGTCCTTTGTTGAGGCTCTGGGTTAGAAACTCTGGAGACACAGTGGTGGTATGAGTTCCTATCCAGCCTGGTGTGTTCGATGATGTTGGAGTCAGGCAGCCTGGTGTCAGGCTGGATATCCCAGGACCGCACGGATGCTGTAGCCCCTGGGGTGCCTGGGGACAGGACTGGGAAGTGGCCTCCAGCCATAAGGGAGGAGGTTAGTCTGGGTGCCATAATGGCGGCTGTCTCTCCTCCAGCCCCATGCAGTTCAGTAGGAACAGAGCTGGTATTTCGATTCTCCATTCCTAGCGACTCCCTCCCCAGTGCCCACAGCGTTGCTCAGGGGAGGTAGAGCCCACTTCAGGAGGTTCAGCTTCTGTTTTGCATTAGACTGACCCCAGGGTTCTGGAAGGAAGAGTCAAACAAGCTGTGCAGGTGAGAATTGCCCTTGTTAGAGAATATTCATAAGATGGGTCTGGTGAGGGTAAGGACAATATGCCCAGAGGGGAAAGGGTTTGGAATGTTTGCCAGTGTTCTCGTCTTGTCCATGCTACCTGGTCGCAGGGCAGAGCACCATTAAGAAAGTTGCCTTCCTAGAATTTTAGAGCATATTGTGATCTGTCCGCGATAGGAGTTTTTGGGGGCACATCGTCATGGAGTTCCTGGACAATGTCCTCCTAACCCTGTCTCTGACACCTGTGACACTCTGTATCTTCTCATTTTGGTAACAAAGTAGACACTGACTTAGACTTGACTCATTAAGTGGGGAGCTAAAAGCCCTAAATTAAAATGTGTGAAAAAGCATTTTCTAGTATTAAAAACTTAGACAGGTGAGTTGAGCAAATTCTAATGAGAAAAGATCAACTTATGTTTCTGTACATTCAGTGGGTACATTATATGTACTCTTTTTAACCCAACAGGGCCAGTGTGTGGCTCTTTCTAATTATTCCTATATTCCTGCATTCTCTATGATTATTTGTTTATTTTTAAGTTCTACACCCAATGTGGGGCTTAAATTCATGGCCCCGAGATCAAGAGCCACATGATCCTCCAACTGAGCCAACCAGGTGCCCCTCTAAGTTTATATGTTCTACAGTATTTGTGCAATTTTGCTACCCATTAATTTCCTAAATGCCTTAAGGTCTAGAGTTCATCTGGTCTGCTTTATTTCATGGTTTTTAGAGAAAGTTTCTTTCTTTATACTTTCGTGTCATGATGGCCTTGGAAGGACAGTCTCAACAGGCTTCCTCTCTGTTATGTCATGTCCCCTAAAGGAGAAGGATCTGTGTTGTCATTTCTTAAGGCCTGGCTGGGAGGTGGTGGGAGCCTGGAAACAGAGGGGCCAGGCTGGGTTTGCTGAGAGCTGATGGTGCACAGTGCATGGTTCTAGGCTGATCTCAGCCAGCAACAGGAAGTCCCACTTCATCATCTACTTGAAAGCTCTCTGCTAGGGACACAGCGTGAACTTTTAGTTTATATTGGTTAAGCTCCAAGAAGCAGTACATGTTTGGGGAATTGAAGAGCTCATGTGCAGGACCAGGGAAGACACACCTTCCCCACCAGATTCCAAGCTGTTTCCACACTGATAAGACACAACAGTGACTCAGAGCTAGAACCTCAGGATTCTCAGGGAGTGAGAAATGCTGGTGAAAAAATGGACAGCTATTTCATATATACACACTTGTATCAATATTAACATGCAGAATTGTAGGCCAAGTGGTATTTTTGTTGTTCGAGGGTCTGGATGTGAATCCTGATTCTGACTCTTGGGAATATGGATTTGAAATGTTAACCAACACTTCTCTGAATGCCTTTCTTCATTTGTAAAATGGAAATAATGGGCTTACTTATCTCAGCATGTGGTTATGAGAATCAAATGAGGGAACGCATATGGACGCATAAGCAACTGTTAGTTGCTAATGATCATATGCTTCCTGTGGAATGTTATTTCTTGAATCCTATATCTTTCTAATATAACCCTAGACCTGGAAGTCACAATTGGTTCTTTTTCTACTTGTGCAACAAGTGAAATTTGGCATTGGGTTCTGGAAAGTTTGAACGAATTCTTGGAATCAGCCAGTTATGTGAAAGATGGCTCAACCTTTCGCTTGTCTTTTTGCCCAACAGTGTGCCATGTAAGAAGTGCGTGGTGGTTGGTAATGGAGGAGTTTTGAAGAATAAGACATTAGGAGAAAAAATTGACTCCTATGATGTAATAATAAGGTAAATATATTTTCTATTTGCTAACTTGGAATTGTTTCAAAAGACGAGTTGCTTAGATATATTTAAGTACATTAACATAACCAGTCTCTCATTCATCGACTAGATTAGGCCTAGATTTTTCAGCTCATTCACTTAGAAAATATTGTGAAGTCTTCTGAATATGCCAGGCAGAGTTTTAGCAACAGGGTGTATAGCACTGAATAAGAACAAGTTTCTTGCTCTGTGTGGGGTTTTCACTGTAATGAAGAGAAGAAAACAGTAATGAAAGAAATAAGGAAATACAAAAATAAATGCCATACAAACAGTTAAAACATATGTGACAGTGATTGAATAGCCACTTGAGAATGGACGGATGACCACTTTGAGGAGAAGACCTCTAAGATGGACCTAAGTGACTATTACAGTACCAGCCATACGAAGACTAGGGAAGAGCACTCCAGGCACAAAGAATATTTAGTGCAGGTCCTGGGGAGGATATGATTCTGGGTTTGAGAAGAGTAGCAAGAACACCAGTGAGGTAGGAAGGGCAGCCGGCTCAGGGAGAGTGGAACAGTCAGAAGCCACAGAGGAAGGAGGCTGTATAGGTCTGTGTAAGTACTTGGATTTTAAGTATAATAGGAAACCTTTGAAGATTTTTAAGCAAAAGAGCGATTTGATCTGGTTATGTTTTTAAAATAACTTGGCTGTGGTATGGACAATGGGATATGAGGGACAAGGGTAGAAATGAAGAAGCCAGTTAGGTGGCTATATTCAGGCAGATGATGGTGGCTCGGAAAAGGATTGTCATGACAGGGAATGATGTAAGTGGATAGACTGAGACATGTTCTAGAGGTAGAGTTCTCAGGATTTGTTGATGTTAGATGTGAGGAGAGATGGGAATAAAGGAACCACATAATGCCTTCTGGGTTTTCAGCTTAAGAGATTGACTGGATAGAGGTACCATTTATTGAGTTGGGGGAAGACTAGGGTAGGAAGATCTTAAAGGAAAATCAAGATTTCTGTGTGAACATGTTAGGTTTGAGATGCTTATTAGATTTGTGGTGTTAAGTCAAGTAGGCATTTGGTTAAACAGGTTAAAGGCTCGATGGTAAACAGCCTATGAGCTATATTAAACCATGGTATCAGCAAGATTTCCCAGGGAGAAACAGAGCAGAGGTCCCAGGACGGAGTCTTGAGATATTCTATACTTGGAGGTTGAGCAAAAAAAAAAAAAAAGGAACAAAAGAGATGGAAGAGGATCCACCAGTGAGGTAGGAAGTGTTTTAAAAGAGAGGAGAAGGAGTCAACCATGACCAGTGCTGGCAAGAGGTCATGCAAGATAAGAACAGAGAGTTCACCATTGGACTTAAAGCCTGAAGCTCACTGAGACTCTTGGCAAAGGCAGACGTGGAGACCTGATATGGGGAGTGGCCCAACCAGAGTGGTTTGAGGAGAGAATGACAGGTGAGAAAGTGAGAAACCCATGTAGGCAATTCTCTGGAGTTTTGCTGTGGAGTTGAGAAATGAGATGGTAGCTGGAGATAGTTATGGAACAAAGGAGGCTGTTTTGTTTTGTTTTGTTCCTTTTACAAAGATAGGAAATTCTAGAGCATGTTGGTAAACTGATGAAAATGAGTGAAGAGATGGGTGTGGTAGCGAGCTGGGATGGGGCTTGAGCGCAAGTGCAGTTGGTCCTCTGTAATAGAAAGAAAAACTGGGATTGTAGCTACGGCTACCAAGAGTCCCACAGATGGAGTGGCGGGAAAATGAGGGCATTTCTAGCTCTGTTTTCTCATCAAAAGGTTGAAGTAAGGTCATCCTGTGTTGTGTGTGTTGGGAATAGCTATGAATAGTCTTTTGAAGAGAAGGGCAGTGCGTTAGGATGACCTGACAATCCTTGGGGGTTTTGCTGGGTTACGAGCTGCCAAGAGCTTCTGCATAGTGAGGTCACCTTATTTTCTGTTCACTGTCTGTTTTGAGAAAGCCGTGAAAATTTATCCGCATGACAGTTTTGAAACACAGGTTTCCTTACCTTTAATTGTCTAAACGTTCGATCATCCAGAACCACAGCAAACCCTTGTCGAGACTGCTAAGGGCACAGCATTTATGAAAGTCATTTCAAGTGTTGAGACTGTCTTACATGGAGTCAGTGGTAAAGGGTGAAACAGTATTTATGCTCCCAGGGGACACTGTTTTGGAAACAAAGCATTCCTTTTAGTAGCATGCCTTCATAGTGTATGTGTAAATAGTGCATGTCTAACTTTGGCACTGAGCATAAAACAAATCCAACCGTGGATCCTTTGTGGTTCTTTAGTTCACTCTAGCAGTAACATTTATTTGGTTGTGAGTGGGCATAATACGGCAGTTTTATATTTTCACTTTATTACAGAGCTCAACAATTTTAATGGGTCTTCAGATCACCTTCGGTGTGATTCTTATCTGTCAGTCCATGTGCTACATGACTGTGTAACCTTGGACAAGTAACTTTCCCTCCCTCTGCAGGGCCCTTCTCCAAGGGGTTTTGTCTGGATGTCCTCCAAGGTCTTTTTTAACTCTAGTATTCTGTGGTTCTGTGTTCCCATTGTTTTATTCAGTCTTCGGTTTTCCTGGAGGTGGGACTGAATTATCAGTGGCCCCACAATTACTTTTCAAATCCAGATGAACATTTCTGCCTTCAGTCAAGCAGCTGTTTCATGAAAGGGAATTATTTCCCTAAAAATAGGAATTTAAAAAAGTTGTCTTAAAAATAACCTTGTCTTGTAGCTTTAAGCACTGGACCCATGGCTACTGCGGTTTGTCCTATTCTGAAAGTTCTGAAACTTGTGATGGAATTGGCACATACTACACTTCGTCTACATATTTTGTGTGTTTTACTACCCACAGAATGAATAATGGTCCTGTTTTAGGACATGAAGAGGAAGTTGGGAGAAGGACAACCTTCCGACTTTTTTATCCAGAATCTGTTTTTTCAGATCCCAATCACAACGATCCTAATACTACGGCGGTTCTCACTGCTTTTAAGCCGCTTGATTTAAAGTGGCTGTGGGAATTGTTGACGGGTGGCAAAATAGTAAGTTGGCAACATTGATCTGCCTTCTGATTACCTTCAATTTTTGTTTTTTTTTTCCATTAAAAAAAAAAAAAAAGACCACCACAATGTTCTGTTTTCTGTGTTCTTATTTTATTTCAGAACACTAATGGTTTTTGGAAGAAACCAGCCTTAAACTTGATCTACAAACCTTATCAAATCAGAATATTAGATCCTTTCATTATCAGAATGGCAGCTTATGAACTGCTTCACTTCCCAAAAGTGTTTCCCAAAAATCAGGTATGTATTTTGCTTTGCACAGTTCCAAGCTAAAGATCTGGCTAGGGTAGGGTGGAGAGATCATAGGGTTCTCAGAAAAAATAAGAACCATGACTCGTGAGGTGGCGGTAGTGAAATTAGATATCTGTGGGTATTATGTTTGTTTTTTAGATTGCAAGGAAAGAACTGGAGTGTTCTGGTCCTCCCTACCTCGCCCTTTCGGAGCCCTTCTGGGGTCTCCTCCTACATGCCCCAATGACTCATTTCTCCTAACCTCCATCTGCAGAGTTCTGCGATGAGGAGAGACTGACTGGTGGGGGCGCTGCTGGGCAGGCTCTGCTCAGAGTAACAGGGTGGGGCTTCCCGACAAGCCAGGACTATTCAGGCTAAAAAGAAGCCTCAAGCACTCTGATAAAAATATCACAGGAAAGTTGGTGGAAAGGTGAGGAAGGACAGGATAGTTCGGAAATATTTCTGTGGTCATAGAGACACTAGCACTGAATTCTGAGGAAATGTTGAAACTCCAGATTCTTCAATTAAAAAGAGTCTCACCAACTTTGGCTCTTGTAGCCCTTTTGTTTACATTCCCTAGAAGACAGTACCCTCTGGACCCACACAGTGGCACGGATAGGTTTTTCATTTCAAGCTTGAGAAACTGTGATATAATGTCTCGGCTGAAATGAGGTTTCTTTTTGTAATCAGGGAAAATCCAAAGAAATAAATACACCTCATGTATCTTCTTTTTTTAGTATGATAAAAAAATTCTAAACTTTAGAATTATTAGATTCTAATGCTTTTAATGAAACCACTTATAAAGAATATATATATCAAGTACATTTTATGTTTAATTTAAATTATGTATTCTATTAATATAGTCTGTTATTATATATTAATATTTAATATATAAAAATAAAGGAAATCATCCTTCTTTTCACACTGTAACTCTCATTATTCCTCAAGCTTTTTTTTTTTTTCTTTTTATATTCTTCTGGACTATTTTCTATGCAGTTACACATACTTTTTTGTTCAATATAATTACAATTATATCATAGATACTTTCTGCCATTTCCCCCCTCCATTTAACTATTCCCCTCTTTATAGATCTTTCCGTTAATATCCAGCTTCTTTCCTCCCTAATTTATTTAGAAATGCATGTGATTATAGGGATTTTCAGCCCACTTGTGTGATTTTTGTAGAATAGACTCCTAGAAGTGGAATTCCCAAGTCAAAAAGCATAAAGCCTGGTTCTGGAAATGTGAAGTCATATTGATGTGGACAAGAAAAAAAAAAAAAGGAAGAAAGGCCTGCTTGAATTAGGTTAAAGAGAACATGGGACACGAGCAAGTGGAGGCAAATCTTTGGGGTTTTGTTGGGAAAGGGGGCACAGAAATGGTTGGAAGACACGGGATCAAGGATGGTTGCTTTTGTGGTTGTTTTAAAGCCAGATGCCATGTTTATATGATGGAGAGAACGATTTGATAGAAGAAAATGATGAGAGCAAGGGGGTCATTGTAGATGCAGATTTGGTGGCAGAGAAGAGACGGGAGGAAAGAGTGCACGAGGGGCGAGGTTGGCCAGAGGCAGGGACAGGCACATCACATCCATGGAAGAGTGAGCGCTGAAAGTACAGGTCAAACTGAAGGTAGATTGGGAAGTTGGGAAGCTGGTATAGATAGCTCTTCTGTTTCTGTTAGTGAAATGAGGATTAAATGGTCGGTTTAAAGGAGGAAGGAGAATGAGGCTGTTGGATATAAAGGTATAAAATTGTCACCTTGGGGAACAGGAATGGAAATTTGCTAGGGTAATACTGCACGGCCACTTGAGACTTTGGCCATAAATGTCATGTGTACCTGGGCACGTATGTTGTTTTCTCTTGGCTTGTTATGCTGCTTGGTTGTGGGTTGAGCCAGGGTTAAGATTCTGTCAGGTGATGAACTATTTCTGTCTGTGGGTGCAGAAAATGGAAGGATTATAATGATGGATGAAGGCCTCTAAGGCATGAGGAAAGGAAGTGGAGGTCATGACGGGGAGGGAAAGAAGAGGGAAAGAGTGATGGGATCAATGAGGTTGAATGACTCCCAGGTTGTTAATCCAACCACTAATTTCCGTTTCTAGCAGATGGCAAAGGCTTATGGTGTTCACCATAGGGCATGGGGTAAAGAAAAGCTTACGCCAAAGGTAGTTAAATTTTCAGAGGAGCTTGCCTCCTGGAGTTTATTTGATATTGTTGTGCTTCTTGGGTATTTTTTTCTCCTCCTCAAAATCATAATGTGTCATTTCCATGGAATCTGTAAGTCACACCTTGATGGAAAGGAAATCTCCTTAGATGGCTGTGTTAAGATGTAAATAGTTTTTGCCTTTAAAGGCCGTCCCGGTGAGAATTAAAACAGAATGAAAATCCTTCCGTCAAACATCTGTTACTGCATTTTTAGGAGATATGTGTATGTGAGGGGGATGCTTGGTTTCTTTCCTTTTTGATTTTTAAACTGATAATGATCCAGTGGAGACTGTGACATTACTCTGTATACATCTGGACTTTTTTTTTTTCTATAGAAGTCAGAATCTTATTATTTGCCATTGAAGTTAATTTACTAGTCTTTCCCCAGAGCTAGTTAAATTATTAGAATTTTAAGAGATCTCTTTTAAGGCTTATGTGGAGCCTCTTACCATGATCCCATCCATTAGTGAGTTAACCTGTCCTTACGTTTCCTGTATGGGTTGGAAATCCACAGGCTCTGCTGTTTGCACAGGAAGCCTGACTCAGCATGTATTATAAAAGGAGGCGGCAGCATCCTTTTCCCTGAGCCTTTTTTCTTCATTTGATAGTTGTCCTCTGGGCTAATACTATAGTTAAGTTTTATTTGAAAGATTTTCTAAGATTTTCATCACATTTATATGCTTTTCAGAGTTAGGAAATTAACCGGGGTTTGGGTCTTAGACACGATGAGGGTTTAACTTAGGTATTTCTCACCTGGTACGTGTTCAGAAGTCCCGGTTTTATAAGATGAGGTCACCCAGCTTTGGGAACATCTTGTTTGAGTTTTAAAAAACCTTTTGTTTCCTTCCCCAGAAACCCAAACACCCCACAACAGGAATTATTGCCATCACGTTGGCCTTTCACATATGTCACGAAGTTCACCTTGCTGGTTTTAAATACAACTTTTCTGACCTCAAGAGTCCTTTGCACTATTACGGGAATGCCACCATGTCTTTGATGAATAAGGTAATACATACCCACTTGGGTAAATATTTGATCTTTACAGTCAGAAAGCCTCTATTTTCTGTTTCTGCATTTTTACTGAGGGAACAGCTTTTGAGTGTGAAGAGCTGCTTAACCCTACCAAGAGCTACCAAAGGCTGAAACTGGGACTTGGATCCAGGCAGTTCCAATCTGTGGGTGTCAGACCCTTGGGAATAGGACATCGTATCAAACCCGTATGGACACCAAGCCTTATCTTAGATCATGTTTGCACTATACAAATATGCATGCAGGCCATTTGCTCTTGGTAATATCTCAAATTCACTTAAAAGCATTATCACAGAACAGGGACACTCATCCACATAAGAGGATTGAGCACTGAAAACACGGGAAAGATGAAGGTAAATTTGGAGTTGAGAAGATGATGTAACTTCTTGCTGTGCTTTTCAACCTTTTTTTTTTTTTTTTTTTTTTTTTTTAAGTAGAGGAGGAAGTCTGTGACATTTTAACACCATGAGGGAATATTCATGGTCAAAAAGGTTTCAGACGTTTATAGTAGATCATGCTTCTCTTGAATTAGAGATCAGTGGTGGTACATAGGATCTTTAAGACTTAATTGAATAGGTAGGAGTTGTCTGAGGTTAGTAGCATATCACAGGTGACAGGACTAAAATGTTATCTGTACATTTTTAATATGGAAATATGAATAGTTTGCTGTTAGGTAGGGATATAGCCTGTGTAATCAGTCCCCTTAGATCATCATCCTCAGACACTACCATAAGCCAAAGGTTAGACCTTCGTATTATTATATTACTTCATCTCCACCCCTTGTGAGACAGACACTTGAGTAGTGTTAGTTGCCTAGGACAGACTGCAGGATCATTTCTCCTCAGCCCTAATCTTTTAGCACTCCTGGGATTTCTAGTCATCTATGTAACAGAACACTGAAACAATTTCCTGAGGAAGATTAGGATATCCATCAATAGAATATTTAAAAAAAAATCTCTTATGCATGCTTTACAATAGTTTCTTTGGGCTGATTTCTGTGAGTTTCAGGTGCTGCTTTTATTAAAGTGATCAACCCATTTTGACTTAAAATTCTGGCCTCTAGTTTTATATCCTGATTTAGAAGACGGGGGAGGGGGGAATGATACGAAGGGGTGCTCTTAGGTGAGGGTTTAAGTGGAAACAGCAGGCTAAATTTAGGAAACACTCTGGGAAAAGAATGAGCAAAGAGAAAGGTAACAAAAGTTAAAAGTCTCCCTGTATACTTGTGACTTTTTTCATTCAGAAGCTTTTCAGATACACTGCAGTCCATTATTCCTGTTAACATTTTGAGACTGGGATAGATAGTGATTTTATTTTCCTTTTCTTCTCTAGAATGCATATCACAATGTGACAGCGGAGCAGCTCTTTTTGAAGGACATTATAGAAAAAAACTTTGTAATCAACTTGACTGAAGATTGACTCTACAGACTCAGAAGACGATGCTAACAGTATTAGTTTTATTTTTATATGGCAGTTTTTAGTTTATTTTTAAATATGTTGGATGCACTTGTCAAAAAATTGTGTATATTAAGTCTGTTGCTGCCTGGTGATTCATAACCACCAGCTTAATTTCTGTGAATATATTTAATTTATAAAAACCAAGATATGTTTAGTTATCAGGGAAAGTTTTGATTGCATTGTTTTTAAAACAAGCTAGTTTTCCGAAGTGTTTCTAAACATCTTTTTATATTGACTTCATCTTAGACTTTTGAGGGGATATGACTTCCTAATAAGGGGCTTTAGCTGACCACAATTTTTGAACACATTTGGCTACTCTAAATTGGTGGGGAATGGCCATGTGGTTGTGCCTTGATACGGCAGACTGGAGCCACTTTCGGCATGTAGCTAGATGATTGTATTGTACCTGAGGAAACAGATTTGAATCTTAAAGCAGCCCTGAACACAGCAGTAGGTATGGTTATGGAAATCTAAGATCAGACTGGTTTCATTAAGCTTTTTTTGTCCTGCAGTTAAGTAAACCATGATTGTAATGAGTAATCTGGAAGGTGTGTTTTTAAGGTGAAGGAAATAGACTAAACATGAAATTCTGGACGAGTAAATAAGCTAAGAATGCCACTTACCAAAGCCTGGTGACTGCATTATTTTAAAGCTCATACAAGGTAGCAGAGCTAGGCAAGCTCAAGGAAAGCATTATTAAATTTTTTGCCTGGCCCATTATATTAAAATGTGAAAGTTTACTATTGGAATTAAATTAGAAAAAAATGAAGATAAATCCTTGAGACTCCTCCTCAAGCTGTTTCTGGATTTAAATGGGACTTTCATGAGAGATTTCAACTTCAAAGGGGAAGGCTTACCTGGCTACCTAGGGTGCATCAGAGAAGAGTCCTACTGGATGCAAACAAGTCAAAACCAACCCTTCGAACAAATGTGAGCTAGTGTCCCTTCTCATTTAATCCAGCCCATGGCTATGGGGAGGGAAAAAGGAAGAGAAGAGAATTACAAGAAGGATGGAATTAAAAGTTCTCAGAAGAGGTAAGAGTTGAAAGAACTGTTATCTTTTGAACAATAATTATCACTGGGAGTCACGCTGGTGCTACTGGGAACCAACCAGCCTCTCTAAAGATTATGTCAAACGCAGTATAAGAGAGGGGAGAAAACTCCTAGTTGATGTAAGCCAGATCTACACATGAAACGTGGACACTATTCTGTTAGCACCAGCACACTTGCACAGTACCATGGTTTCACTGGATTCCTCCAGTAACTGAGGTGGAAAACATGGGTGTTCGTGTGACCCTGCCCTCCTCCCACACAGCCAGAGTTCGCTGCTAAATTTCAGTCTGTGAACTAATTTAGGCTCCAAAAATCGATGGTCCTGGCTGTAGTAAAAATAAAAGACCACTGGTAGCATTTTCAAATGTTACTATAAGGTTTAGAATAATGGCAGGATAATTTCTGACTGATGCTAAAACTGAGAAATCTGGCATTTTGTGTAGTATGAGAGAAGGCTACAAACTTCAACATGGTTTTATATAAGCCCAAGGAAAGTCTCAGCAAGACACATATATACAATTTATTAAAAACACATGAACACATTAAGATCTCACTATTTATACAATCTAGATTCTAGCAACATATACACATACTGAGTGACTACAGTACATGCCGAGGTAAGAAAAGTACATTCCGGGAGAATATCACTGACCCTCAAGCCATTTTTATTTCCAATATGTATTTCAACATGTTTTGTTTCCACCTTTCCCAGTGCCAAAAAAGGAAAAAAAAAAACAAAAACTAGTCATAAATTGGTGCCACAGTTGAGCTAAAAAGTATGATAATAACCATCCAACTCTTACTAGATTTTGCAGTTCAGGGACTTCAAGTTCATGGCAGAAAAGCAGAGCTAGAAGGCAGTTTTTTAAAGGTAGAGCTTAGTTATCTCTCTTTAAAGGGTTTGAAAAGTTTTTGTCCCACAATCTATTAGTTCTGTCCTTTGACCTATTGTTTCCATAGCCCTTTTGCTCTCCAGGTTTTAATGTGGGGCCAAGGCAAAGAAGTTCAAGCTTTGTCACCTTCTATAGAATTTTAGATGAGTGCATTTTCTGCTGGGGGCAGGGAGGGTAAGAGTATACATGACACCATAGTTTCAGCTGCTGGATAAATTCTCTACACCAGCCTTTTCACCAGCAGATAAATCCACTGTTCAATGCAAAGTGCAAATAGTGAAACATGAATTTAAATAACTGGACTAGACCCTAAACATACAATAGGATCTATTTAGTGTTACAGGTTCTAAAAAATATAAATCAGCATTCACAATATCTTTAACTGGGCTGGTTCCTAAGATCATGTAACAGTGAAGTTGGTGTCACTTTATGAAAACCTGTAAGGGCCCTACTTTGCTGTACCTCTGTTGGAGCCGATCTTTAAAATTGTGTTAACAGGAAAAAAAAATTAATCCAATAAACCAGAGTGACTTAAATCTTTAAGATGTTTCAAGCAGGGAATAAAAATTCAAGGTAATTTAGTAAAGAAAAAAAAGTTACTTTCACATTTTCAGTTGATTGTCTCCACAGCTGCATCAGACATAAATGTAGTTAAAACCCAAAACAAAACTCTAATACGAAAACAAAGGAACTAAAAGTACAAAATCAGAATAACCCTTTGTATCAGGCTCAGCTCTTCATTTAAAAAGTAAATATACAAAAGCAATAAAAACTATTTTGTACAAAATCATTGGTAGTTTAAGGACCGCACGGTGGCAAAAACATGCATCATTTAAGAAGAAAACATTTGCCTCTCAAAAAGAGTTCCATGGGAAAATCAGGTGCACAAAATTAAATGAAAACAATCATCTTTGGGAGAATGAGATAATTTCTCTTAAAGCTTCTCAAACAGGCATGTGATTGGAGAAGTATATTCACTGTGTACTGAGGATGAATAAAAAAATAAATCGGTTTACTCTCTTCCCACCTGAAAGGGGATGACTGCATTAATACACGTGCTTTACACATTCATGTCTTAATAAAAGTTCAACATCTGTGCTTGTTTCAAATGTTTTGAAACAGTATATTTCTTCAGTGAATAAAATGATGCCTCAAAGTTTGTCTGAAAAAGCAAATGAAGATAACACCAACAAAAATAATACTAGAGGGCAGAGAGGCTGTAGAAATAATTCTGCTTTTGAAGCAATACTTTAGAGTGCTGATGTACCCATGGAAGCAAATGAAATGAACACTGTCTTTTCTCACATCTAGCAAATTGTGGAAACGACTGGGGGCACAGGCCGCAAGAAATGGCTAGAACCTGATGGGAAATTGTATGTTTTAATCATAGGGCCAGCTTCTCAGCCTGCCAAAGAGTTTTAAAGATTCTTAACACTATGGGCTAACAAATTACAGATGACTTTTATTTCACCCATCTAAAACTAGTTCTGGGCAAATAGTAAAAACGAAGTTGCCTGGAAGTATCAAAAACAGACATCAATATTCACCTGCTGCTAGAACATCTGTTCCACAGGCCTGCGGTGAAGGACTGTCAAAACTCCCGTGACACAGAGTGGGCACACTCACACAGAGCTGAGGAATTCATGCTGGCTTCCTATTTCCTTCAGTATTTCACTGTGGATATTAAAAATACTTTTTGGCCAAAAATAACTTCAGATTGAAATTATATATATATATACATATATATATATATATAAAATGAAAGAGGGCAAATCCGTTTTGTTTTTTTTTTAAAGGTACTTTATATGACTTCTGAGGAATGATTCCACCTTTCACTGTGGTAAACATAAAGGGTCCTATTTACAGTGTTCACTCAGATGGCCCCACAAGTACTCAGAACTCTCCTAGGACCAATCCCATTGCAAGTAAAGTGAGGGGCAGGGAGAGAATCTCTGTTGGAGCTTTTTAAAATTACAGGATTCATGAGGCTGGTGGAGCAAGCATCACTCACTAAAAAAAATTCAAAACCGTTAATAAACACAAGAATGGGGCTGGCCCCAGACGGAACAAGTAGGGATGAAACCAGGTCACGTACCATTAAGTGTTAAAACTCTGAAGAGTGTCAAAAAGTAAAAAAAAAAAAAAATCAATGACCCCGCCCTTTATAAGTCAGTTTCCCACCTACAGACCTTCTTAAGATAGGTAAGTGTATGACTGCAATCAAAAAATGATACCACTAATTTTTTAAAAAAATCCGTAAGGAATATAGGAATAGAAAAGAGCTCATGATAGTACCCACATTTCACAAGAGAGCAACATTTCAAGCCATTAGACACTTCAAGAACAGTACCATGCGCTATTGCCCGTCAGGCGTACAGAGCCACCTCTTCAGTTCATTAACGTACCTGCAGCATTGGTAATAAATACTCTCAGTGATTTTTAATTTCTTTGAAGTGCATAGTAGGGAGCATTTTCTGTATCAAAAAATAGTGTTTTACAGTAGTAACAAACAGGATGTTTGCAATCGAACTGGCAAGCCGTCACTGCCACAGTAACACTTTTAAAGCAAGATGGCAAGATTAGTAGTTCCCTGTACCTCGGTCATCACATTTTCCCCAACCACATCTGTGACAGATACGTAATACATTCTATATATTACTACCACTAACACACAAAAAAGGCCATGTGCTTTAAAACGATGCTTTATAACAAGCAGCATCACCTTTAAAGAATTTCTTTAAAAACATCACATTCACCATCCCTCCCGGCTCCTGAAGCCTCCTGTGTGCTCTGTGGCACCTGGTACACCAGCTCGTCTGGGGCACTGGCACCTGGCTTCCCACCTTTTGGGGTGTCATACTGGGCACGGGCGGAGGAGCAGCTGTCAGTCCTGGAGAGAAGAGTGTTGTAGGCTCCCACTAGTGGGGGAGGCTGGTTCCCTGCAGCTTTGAAAGTGGACGTTGAGGGAAGGCCCACTGAAGCTGTGGGGTGCCCAGACATATCCATGATGATTGGGGTTGCGTATTCGGGCCCGGTAATTGGCAGTGGTTCAGCATAGGCGTGGTAGACTTCTTGGACCGGGGAGTTGTAAGGATCTAGGTCAGCGTAACTTGCTTCTTTCCCTTCTTCTGGTTTAAAGGTGGATCTCTGATGAAGGGTGCCAACGAGTCCTCCCACAAGTGGCTGTGCATACTCTGTGGAATTACAGAACAAACAACAGAAAAGCCACCTCATTCATACAGGGATCAGAGAGTCCAGGTGACAGTTGTAGCCTGACACCAAAAACAAACACTTCTTTATGGCACTTTTGTTCCTGTCAATACAGACCTATGGATTTCTCTACCAGAACCAACTTAAAAAAATTAAACATGTTGGGGCACCTGGGCGGCTCACTGGGTTAAAGCCTCTGCCTTCAGCTCAGGTCATGATCCCAGGATCCTGGGATCGAGCCCTGCATCGGGCTCTCTGCTCAGCAAGGACCCTGCTTCCTCCTCTCCCTCTGCCTGCCTCTCTGCCTACTTGTGATCTCTCTCTGTCAAATAAATAAATAAAATCTTTAAAAAAAAAAAATTAATCATGTTATCTTGTATCTCCTAAGAAGTTAACATGCTATAGAGTCTCATTCATGAAATTTTACAGAGAACGTATATGCTCTTCAGATTTACAAACAGTGTTATCACTGGGGGAAAAAAACCCATTTCATTATTAGATATTTTCAAATAGGACAATGTTTAAAATAAATACGAACTAAGTTAACAGGATACATACTGTAAGGCTCATTATAGGTTTGCCACTCTTCACACTCAAATAAAACTCCAGGTAAACACACAGAAATGCCCAGAACTTTTTGGAAATGAATGCTCCTATTTTTTGGAGAACATGGAAGGTGCAGAAATAACTCTCTCAAGGTCATCCTTTCAAAAATTAGTTCTACCTTAAGAAAACAGTTCCCCCGTTACATAGGAAAAAGAGAAAAGACACTAGAAATCCCAAAGCACTTTCCAGCGACGTGCAGCAGTGTCTTCCTCCGCTCTGGTGAGGGCTGCATGCAGTTACCTGCAGAGTCGGTCTGCAGCACCGCGGTGACTTCTCTGGGGCTCAAAGGATTGACTTCACTGCTGCTGTAGCGAACGGGGGTCTCCTCGTGTTCCACGGACTTGGCAGGGAGAAACTGCTTCATTCCTTTCCACCAACCTTCATGGTGATTGGAAGCAAGAAAGACCATTACATAAAAACCTAGGACTGAAATGATGACACTGTTTACGGGAGAAATCCTGCTGCATTTAAGCCATTTCTGTAACACATCTGTACAAAATAGCCTCTATGTTCAATCTCTTTTTTTTTTTACTCTGGCAAAATACACATTACATAAAATTTACCGTCGTAACCATTTTTGAGTGTAGGTCACGTGGTTTAAAACGTTCACACTGTTGTGCAACTACCACTACCATCTATCCCCATAACTTTTCAGCTCATAAAACTAAAACTCTATTCCCATGAAATGGTAACTCCCCATTCGTCGTCCCCCTACCAATGGCGACCATCACTTTACTTTCTGTCTTTATGATTTTGACCATTCTAAGTACTTCATCTAAGTGGAATCATACAGTATTTGTCTTTTTGTGACTTGCTTATTTTGCCTCACATAATATCCTCAAGGTTCATCCATCTTGTAGCATATTACAGAAAATCTTTCCTTTTTAAGGCTAAATAATATTCCACCGCTTGTATACAATACATTTTGCTTTTCCATTCATCAACTGATGGTCAGGTGGGTGGCTTCCACATTTTAACTGTTAACAATATTAAATTTTCAATCCACGAACATAGGGTATGTTTTCATTTACATCTTTTAAAATTTCTTTAGTAATGTTTATAGTTTGTAAAAGTCTAGTACCTCTTGGGTTAAATGAACTCTTGTATTTTATTCTTTTTGATGGAACTGTAAGTGAAACTTTTTATAATTTCTTTTTCAGATCATTCACTTCGTGTACAGAAATGCAACTGATGTTAGTGTGTTGACTTTGTATCCTAATAGTTGGCTCAGTTATTGGTGCTAACAGCTTGTGTGTGTGTGTAATCTTTAAGGCTTAATTCTCTTTTAAATGTTTGGTAGGATTTTTTTTTTTTTTCAGAGATTTTTGATTATTGACTCAATCTCTTTAGTCAATTCAGATTTTCTATTTCTTTGTGACTTATTCTTGGTAGCTTTTATATTTCTGGAAATTTGTCCATTTCATCTAGATTATTCAATTCTTTGGCATATGATTATTCATAATATTCTCATAATCTTTTTTTCTGTAGAATCAGTAGTGATGCCTGCACTTTCTTTTCTGATTTAAGTAGTGTCAATCTTTCTTTTTTTTTTTTTAAGATTTTATTTATTTGAAAGACAGACATCATAAGTAGGCAGAGAGGCAGGCAGAGAGAGAGAGGAGGAAGCAGGCTCCCCACTGAGCAGAGAGCCCGATGCGGGGCTCAATCCCAGGACCCTGAGATCATGACCTGAGCCGAAGGCAGAGGCTTTAACCCACTGAGCCACCCAGGCGCCCCTCAATCTTTTTTCTTATTCTATCTAAAAGTCTGTCAATTTTGTCGATCTTTTTGAAGAACCAGCATTTGATTTCACTATTTTCCCATTTTCCATTGTATTTCTCTCTCTTATCTTTATTATTTCTCTCCTTCTGGTAGCTTTGGGTTTAGTTTGTTCTTGTTGTAATTCCTTAAGTTGCTCAAGTCTTTTTTCTCCCCCCGCTTTAGTGGAGTATCTAGTGCAATGCAGAACATGGTAGAAATTCCCAACGGAAGTATACACAGAAGCAAAATCATTGCTCTAAAAGTGTTGGCAGATATAATTTGTCTGTTGTAGGGTGGTTTTTGATAAGTTTTTCTAAAAAAAAATACTTTCCAAGATCTACCTTGGGGTTTTAGCAGCACAGAATCTGCCCCCACTACTGTTCTTTTCTGCCTTAGTCACAGCAGTGAACTCTTCTGCCTTTTATTGTTCCAGCCATGAGACTGGAAAGTAGGAGACCTGTAGGGAAATTCTGGTGTCACCTGCTGCAATGGGCCACACAGAGTAGGAATTCAGAAGATGACAACTCATCACGGCAGAGAAGACAGACCTCACAATTTCCAAACTGCAAGGCTCTACCTGGAAGTACCCACAGCAGAGTGACAAACACACACTGTGTTACCAAGACCACAATCCTTTTACGCAGTGATCACACAAGCCATAAAGAAAGCTGGTCTCCTCGAGAAAAACAGATACATAGACAAACCGCATGGGTTTTCCAGGAAAAAGGAACAGAGTGTGTGTTATGAGAAATCCTTACTTTTCATTTCATTACTTATTGACCAGAAGAGATTTTACAGAAGAGCAAAAGTGGTCAGAACGTTAGAGGAACACCATTTTTCTCAGAGGCAGGGGAGTTTGTGTGGGCCCGAAAACAGCTTTCCTCTTTTACTACTGCCACCTGGAAGGGTGGGACTTCCCTCTATGGGAGCAGATGCAAAGTCCCGAGTTACCTGCCCGGTCCCAGTAAGGTAAGTCGTAGGTGCCTTCAGTTTTCTTCTTTCTGGAAAAATACAGAAAAAAACATGTTAGCAAACAGAGTGAATTCATGAGTAAGACAGCTCTGAAAGTGCAGGATAAACACTCAAGTTAATAATTACTCAGGAGTACACATTTCCATTTGCTGACCTACCTGGCAAGGCCCTCCATTTCACTTGCCTTTCAAAGTCGCCCCTGCTGAAACTCATACTGAACTCTTTTTTTTTTTTTTAAAGATTTTATTTATTTATTTGACAGACAGAGATCACAAGTAGGCAGAGAGGCAGGCAGAGAGCGGAGGGAAGCAGGCTCCCTACCGAGCAGAGAGCCCAATGCAGGGCTCGATCCCAGGACCCTGGGATCACGACGCGAGCTGAAGGCAGAGGCTTTAACCCACTGAGCCACCCAGGCGCCCCTCATACTGAACTCTTGATAAATTTTAAACTTATCTCCTGAGATACTCTGTTACCCAAGGTACTTCCTACTCAAGGGATAAAGGAATAAGAAAGGCTAAGTTTGTAGATAAAAAGAATCTAATCAAAGACCCACAGGTAACATGTGGGTTCTTATGGAACAGTTACTGTTAGGTCTGTTTCAGTTTCTAATACAAACTATGCAAATCCATTGATTTCCATCTGTGTCCTGACAATCTGAACATCCATAGCATCCTTGAAGCGCTAGCCCAGAGGGATCTCAGGACTTGTCTCCCACCTCCCAGACAACCTGACTCCCAATCCTTACCCTCTGTGCTTTGACCGTAAGTGGATGAGATTGGACTGCCTGACTGACCACACACCTAGGGCAGAGCTCCACTCGGCTGTGTGTGGACCAGGTGACCTCAGACAAGTCACATTTTCTTCTTCTGTGAAACAATACCTGCTTTGTAGGTTGTCTGAGGAGTAAATGAACTGAACCATGTAAAGCACTTAAAATAATGCCAAAAATCAGCTTTCGTTCTCTATAAAAACGAGCTGTTGCTACTCTCCTCGTTGTTACTATTGCTTCTACCCAATTCCTGGAGAGCACCCTGAACTTTCTGCCCTGGACTTTCCCTGCCCTCATAGTAGCTTGTTGAGTCTCTGTCCAAACAGCCTTCCCAAAACCATGAATCCAGGATCCACCTGCTTCTTCAGCCTCCTCCGTGGCATGTACTGGATGGGGGCACCATCGCTGCCCGTCTTCTGCACTGTATCCTCTCCCAGCCTGTGAACTCTGGGGCTCAGCCCTGGACTCCCAGCACATGGTCAATACTCAGCACGAGGCAGGAGCTCAGACAGTTGAGTGAATGAATGAAGTCACTCTCCGGCTCCACCAAACCTGTTCCTGCTGCTCTGTCAGCTCTACTCAGGACATCTTTACTGGTCTAAGTGCACAAGCCAGAAACTTCGGATCGTCCAGGATCCCTCCTCCTTCCTTAGCAGCCAGTTGCACCTCATCAGATAGCGTCACCCGTCTGCCTCACCCTCCTCAGTGAGACCCCCATCTACAGAATGAAACCTGAATCCCTCTGTCCCCAGAGGCCCAAGCTATACTTCAGTTCCTCCTCAGCGCTCTCCTGTGCCCAGCCCATGCGTGAGCCCTCACTACCCTGCTTACACTCCACATCCTTGTGCCTTCGCTCAAGCACAGGGTCTGGGCTGTGCTCCACCTTCCTCCATCCAGGCAAACCCAATGTTCTCGTTAAGGTGAAACAAACTTGAGGATTACTCTTTCCTGCAGAAAAGCTTTCAGATACCTCTCATGGTTTTCACATCTGTGCTCCCCAGCACTTCAAAAAGAACTCCTCAAGGCATATTACAGTTCCGTGTCTTTGTCAACCAACCCCGCCAAACACCTGGGGGACAGGAGTTATGCCTCATTCTTTCAGGAAATATGACTAAGCACCTGTTATGTGTCAAATTGTGGTTCTTATTAATGTGTATATTCCAGCACGGAAAGCAGATTTTGATACAATAAAGGTACTCAGTGACTATGCTATTGAACATACTCCTTTTTATACGTATTGTATTTTGACTTTAATAACTACCTTAACTCTCCCCTTCTCAAATAAGTGAATGGTAGTTCACCTCCTCTATTTAGATTTTACTTCACACTTGAAGACACCCCTTGTAGGACCAGTCAGGTAAACTGGTTATGGACTCACCTGTTCCTCCAATGCCAAGCACACACTACGACGAGGATGAGGGTGGTGAGCACCATGACGAGCACTGGGACTAGGACCGCAGCCAAGGCTATATCTGAAAACACACCAAACGAGAGGCATGAAGGGAAGGTGGGAAGCTTACCCATATCATCCTTCAAAGCTTTTCTATCTTAGAAAACACATGTTATTTATGAAATGAGAGTGGGCATGTGTGGGTAATGGCAGAAGCTTTCACAGGTAATGTGGAAGTCTGTCACACTATTTACTTCAGCTTTGTAGATACTTAAAATTTTTCATAGTAGCTTTTTAAATCAGCAAGATAAACTGAAAGACCAATGAAACTTGGAAAATATATTTCTGAATATGTGATAAAGGGTTACTATAACCTATATATTACAGAATTTATATGTAAAAATAATCAATAGAAAAAAAGCAGAAATGAATGAGCAATACAATTAAAAAAATACAAGTAACCATTCCACATGTCAGCTTCACTAGTAATCACAGAAACAGAAGTTAAAATAGGAATAAGATGTTATTTCTGCTCATCAAATTGGCAAATATTTAAAAGAATAACTGCTAGAAAGGATATCAGGAGACAGTTATTTTTATGGGACTTTAAATGTATACTTTCTGCATCAATTTGGGGCAATATATATAAAAATCAATCACATGGCAATTCCATGCCTAGAATTTATTCTTAGAAAAAACATTCAAAGATGGATCTTTGAAGAGGTTTCCTGCAAGAGTGAAAAACTGGAAATAATCCAAATGCCCAACAATGAATGGGAATAAATACATCATAATACCTTTCTCACAGAAAAATATTACTATATACCATCTAACTTATATAACATATATGCTATATAATTACAGTATATAGTCACTATATATCTATATCTATCTATATATATACACTATATAATATCACAATCCAGCAATTGGAAATGATATTGCAATATGATGGGGGAAATATTTTATAGATATGGGAAGATAACAACATAGTGTCAAAGTATGAAAAAACCTATAGGTATCAACAGGGCAGAAAAGGAGAATGCTTGAGCCTACAGGGACTAGAAGATCATCTAATCCCTTTATTTCACTCTTCAGATAAGGAAGTCCAAGCCCAGATCCAGCAAATGGTCTGCCTAAGGTTGTCTGAGACGTCAGCTCCTTCCCTAGTCTGGCACCTCTGTCCCAGCAATGAGGACAGCAGCACAGCAGCAGCCACCACCGATCCGTGCTGGGGACTAAGCGCCAGACACAGTGGGGCCTGACCCTCAGCGTCTTATGCACCCTTAGACTTTATCCAAAAGTGAGAAAGAGGCTGCCCATATAGGAGAGGGAGAGGATCATCAACAACCTGAGGCCTCTGAGAAGCTGGATGGATGGGAACGAAGGCACAGGTGGATCAGCTTTGGACAGTCTGAGGAAATCCCTCCTTCCACGCAGTGGACACCAGGTACAGAAGAGTTTACAGGCTCCACAAATAGGGAGTTTCCTTCTACTTGCTTTTATTTTCTTTTAAATGTTGAAGTGGTAACTGAGAGTGAGTGAAGAATCTCTGAGTCAAGGGTGTGAAGACTATGGAGAAGTGACTGCTGAGAAGGGACAGAAGAGCTGACCAGAGAGAGAAAGACCGCTGGCTGGTGCTGAGGGCCCCACCTGGGGAGGATTCAGGAAGCCACAGTGGCATAGATCTGCCCATGATATGATTTTCTTTAGGGGCACTCTCAGCCTACAATGTAAAAATGGAAAAGAAGTACATAAAACAGAAATCATGACTCAGGGTTAGAAAGCACTAAGAATTCAGAAGGGTTAAAGTTCTTTATCCCTAAAAGTTGTAAAATTGGAGAGAAAATAATCAGGTTCAAGTAGATACAGTTTGATTTAATGAGAGTTTTTTTATAAAAAATCTGCTTAAGGCTCAAAAAATAATAAAAAGTCTATACACTACCAACCCCAGAGAAAAGGAGACCAGGTCTTTAACTGAAAAGACTTGTCCATTCTTTGTTATTCTTCTGAAGCTTATAGGAATGTTAGCTCTGGAAGTAAACGCTTTAAGGACACTTTTAGTCTTGAGATTTCAAGATTCTATAATCAGACTTTAAGATGAACAATACTTTTAAATGGCTGTTCATGTGGTCTGGGATCCTGTCCAAACTGACGACTTCTGCAAAATGAGAAGAAGTTCTGTGAGACACTGAGATCTCCTGTTTCTATGAAGTCTTGCTTCTCTTTAGCTTTTCCAGCAGCATGAGAAAGAATGAGATCTGTTTAGAAAATACCTTAGAAGATGGGGGAAAAAGTGACATGTGGAAAGTTGGAGAGAGTTATCTGAATCAGGCAAATTTTCAGAAAATGAGAATGAATAAAGTTCTGTGTGGCAGAAGTTACTTGGAATGAATTGCTTTCTCTTCTCGGCATTGTCCTGAAAATGCTTTATCTGCCAATACTGAAATTAACTCCTCTGTGCCACTGGTGGTTTTTTCTGAATTCATCTGAAATTTTGTTTTTTAAAAACTAGTAAAATCAAAGTATTATGTTTCATATGTATTAATACCTTATTTATCAGCAATAAGATCTGAAAGTAAATTCTACTACATGTATATTTATAATATGAAAAAATTACAATTGTAAATATTTTCAAAATTTGTTTTTTTTTTAAAAGAATTTAATTATTTATTTGACAGAGAGATAGAAAGCACAAGTAGACAGAGCGGCAGGCAGAGGGAGCGGGAGACGCAGGCTCTCTACTGAGCAGGGAGTTGGAAGCGGGGGTCAATTCCAGGACCCTGGGATCATCACCTGAGCTGAAGGCAGCTGCTTAACCGACTGAGCCACTCAGGTACCCTGAGACCAAGTTTTTTTTTTTTTTTTTTTTTTAAGATTTTATTTATTTGACAGAGAGAGAGAGAGATCACAAGTAGGCAGAGAGGCAGGCAGAGAGAGAGGGGGAAGCAAGCTCCCTGCTGAGCAGAGAGCCCGATGTGGGGCTCAATCCCAGGACTCTGAGATCATGACCCGAGTTGAAGGCAGAGGCTTTAACCCACTGAGCCACCCAGGCGCCCCCCGAGACCAAGTTTTTTAATGAGTACAATAACTCACAGTATGTTTAAAGAAGTTATTAATTTTCACCCAAACTGTTTTCCCCTCCTCTTGCCTTTTGCAACCAAATTCCCTATCCAACAAATTAATATATCACCAGAGGGGGAAAAAGAAGTTTGATTCCTGCTATGGTTTTAGTTATTTCTAAAAATAGAGACTCCTTCTGTTTAGCTGTGGTGAGAAAAAAGATCACAAGAGGAGACCCAGAATATAGCAGCCATCTCTAAATATTTAAAGAACAATTCTGCATGACACCAGAGAAAAGAAATCACAGCAATGTAATCAGTTTCTTTTCTAAGGAGAGGAATTAAAGTTTTTTCAGTTCTTAAGAAATACAGTTGAGAGGAAAAGAAACAGAGTTTAAAAGCTGGAAGTGCTCCTGAAAATTCAGTTACAAACAACATAAACTGCTACAATGTAACAGGTGTCAATTTCTGAATCTGCACACCTTTGGTTACACTTGGAGTCACCGTAGTATTTTTGATCTCAGGAGTGGCTGTTGTTTGCTCCGTCTGTGCAGGAAACACATTGTTACTGCGAGGTTGTAGTGGTTGAGAAAATTTGGGGGCTCGACCTTGAAAAAAAGTTTTAAAAACTCTTTAGTTTTTTATCTACATCAACTTGATTAAAACAAAATTATTTTATAATGTTTTTAAAATATTTATGGAAAATTATACCACATATTCTGGGAATACCAAATTCTCATACTTAAAGGAGGCCTACCTTTGGCTATTTTTGGAGGGGCTGTAGTGTTTTTGAGGTCATTGCTGTTCCGAGGAGGTGGAGGTTGAGTAAGTTTTGGAGGACGACCTTGAAAAATGGTTTAGAAAAGTTTATACATTTTGCTTATCAGAGTCAGAGTTAAAAACTAATTTAAATATCTCCAACATTTCCAAGAGAATTTGGTTCTGCTCAGTAATTTTAAATTGTGGACAGCAATACATCAGAAGGATAAATATACTATGCATTAAACACACAAACTTACTGGGATTTCTCACTTTTTATATAATTGCCTTAAAATAATTTTCATAGAAGGAGAACACAGAGGAGGTGGATGATGTTAAACTCTAAAGCCACAGAAGCATCGTCACAGCTTGACATGCTATTCATTCAAGCATTTAATTAACTGTGCAGGGCCCGCCACATGGGGGCATTGTAGTAGGTTTTGGAGATACAACAGTAAGTATTAAAATATTCTATAATACTGAGGGAAGTTACTTCCACTTCTAATTTTTTCAAAGGAAAAGGCATTTGGACTAAGGTTACTGTTATAATCATTGGCATTGGTGATACAATATTATGCTACATGGGACCTGATTAAAAATTGTTAAGATTGAGACTAGATCTGAAAAACAATCTCATTACATTATCTCATCGATGATGATCTCTCTTCTTCCACTTGTAATCTTGAAAACCATTGTAGGAACTGACTGTTTAATAGGATAACTATTTCTTTTAAAAATCCTCTTTAAAAAGATACTGTAGTAAAAGCAGAATGCTCATATTATCATTCTTTATTTTCTCTGAGAATAGCAAAGCCACTTTAAATTAAATAACATACTGTTGCTTTACCTTTAGGAATAAACTGACATCCAAGCAGTTCCACTTTCATGGCAATTTTCTGCTGCCATTGCGTAGGATTCACTCTAATAAAACGTGCAATAATTGGTGGCAAAAAGTTATTACGCACATCCTGGTGATAATCTTTGTTTCCTTGAAATATCTTTAAAAAACAAAAATTGGTACTTTACGTCAACAGAGGTCAGGGCTAAACTGTCCACTGAAACATATTTTTGGTTTTTGCTTTGGGGCTTAAATGAGATCTGTAAAGTATGACAGTAGGAATTAACTTCTCAGAAAATAAATTAATCATAATTTGGACAAACTATTAAGAAGGTACACATTCTTCATCAAAAACTTATAAAAGTACTGAATACAAAAATGCTTTTAAGATGATTGAAACATAACAAAAATGCTAACTTGGCAATCTGAGAATCAGCTGCAGTGAGACAGTATAATTCTCTCAATAAATTACTAACTCTAGTCCTATGGAATTATCAGCTATTTAAATACATTAATTTTCTTCTCAAAGTAAAGCATGATTGAACATACAAGGTCTTAAAAGAAATGCTTTACTGTGTACTTTTCATAATTTTTCTCTCAGAAAAGAGACAGAAAGTGAACATACACTAAAGGAATGCGTAACAGTTATATACCCCCACCTACTGGATAAACTACATAAAGACAGTTCCCATAGTATCCATTTTCATTCTCTGTTGCTATCTAAACCAGACAAGTGATTCTGAAACACTGTGGCCTAATTTTTATGATCCTAAGTAAACAGCAACAGATGCATTACATGTATTATATGAATAGTCTTTAGGTAAAAATATGATTTCAAGTGACTATCTCATCCCCTCAACCATTTTCAACAAATAATGATAGTATGATAAAAGAGCTCTTATTTTCATGTAATTAACTCAGCTGTTCTCCCTGACAACCCCATGAAATAGGCAGAACCCAGAAAACTGCAGCTCCAGAATGTAAATGGACTGCATAACCAGTCGATGACTGTGCAGTGACTTTAGTCTGAGTCTTCTGACTTAACCCTAGGCCTCCACTAAGCTAAAAGTTCTCCTTGTTCCTTTAGGCCAAATTACCTGGCTAGTTTCTAAAGATTGCTAATAAATAGGTATCTGCCTAAAATTACAGGGGTTTGTATTTGATGAGTTAATGTGAGGGCAAGCAAATGTTTAACTCTTCCATCAAGTCATGTCCAAATATATCTATTTTCTTTTGGCTGATTCACAAAGCATTAGATTGTAAACTTCTGAGATGTGTTAATAGCCTTCATTTTCTACAAGGTTTGTTTTGAAGTTATAATAATCTCCAAACGAGTAACTTTTCATAACTTCCTCAGCTATTACTCTGAAATAAAGTGAAGGCAAATATTCGCAGTCTATTATGCATTTGTGGGACAGGAACAAAAATCACTTTAGGACATAAAAACCATCCCTGAGGGGCACCTGGGTGGCTCAGTGGGTTAAAGCTTCTGCCTTCGGCTCGGGTCATGATTCCAGGGTCCCAGGGAGCCTGCTTCCCTTCCGCTCTCTCTGCCTGCCTCTCTGCCTACTTGTCTCTGTCAAATGAATAAATAAAATCTTAAAACAAGCAAACAACAACAAAAAAACCAAAAAACCATCCCTGAGGTTGTACTCCACACCACAGTTTCATTTTTATAAAAAACCTTAAAGGAGAAAGATTTTATATAAATTAGGTAAAAAAGATCTGCTATAATCTGTGAGCATTTATTATAAGCCCCTGTGTGTAGTGAGGTCTGTAAGGAATCATGAGGATAAAAAGGGAAATGGAAGCCCACATTCCCACTCTCAAGGAACTTAAATTTTATAAGATATTGCCACACACAGATATGGCACACTATTAAAAAGCAATACATTGGGGCACCTGGGTGGCTCAGTGGGTTGAGCCTCTGCCTTCAGCTCAGGTCATGATCTCAGGGTCCTGGGATCGAGCCCCACATCGGGATCTCTGCTCCACAGAGAGCCTGTTTCCTCCTCTCTCTCTCTCTCTGCCTGCCACTCTGTCTACTTGTGATCTCTATCTGTCAAATAAATAAATAAAATCTTTAAAAAAAAAAAAAAGCAATACATTATGAAGCAAGTTGTATTACATTTTCTGAAAACAAACCCAAAAGCTGTCTCAGTCTGTATGTGCTCATGCATGTGTGCATGCTCAGGAAATGAACACACCAATTACTCTTGAGTTGGGTAGATGAGGGAGCAGATGGGCTAATGTGAGGCAAGAGATTGATATTCCATATAATTCAGTATAAGGCCTTCCACTCCTTTCCAAAACAAATAGGGATTAAGTTTACTCTTTGCCTTAAACATATGAAAAATCAGATACAATATATGAAACAACAGTTTTCCAACACTGGACAATAGGCAGCATAGAGCATTAATCCCAGAGAGAAGAGAAACACATGAGGTGAGCCTTTCTATTGCCCCAATATTGTCTAGAGAGAGCCTTGGTGCTCTCATCGAAATGAGAACACAGAGCTCCGAGATGGAGAGGCTAAGATAGCTAGAATTTGCAAGACATAGTATAGGAGAGAAGAGAACTGCACAAAGAGAGGGAGACTTCTCGGATCTGTAGGAGGGTTTCCCCTAAATCTTCAGTTGCTTGTAAAGAAACAATCTGTGGATGGTAAAAGAACTGCTGGAAAGGAGCCAGAAGAATGATTCTCAGAACTAGGCAGGGGTGGGAACAGCTCACATTACCAACAGATAGTGTGGAGAAAACTTGTAATACATGAGACTGGGTTGAGTACTCGGAACAGTACTGATGGTAGAAAAAAATTAGAAGTAAAGGCTGCTCAGGTCCTGCCTAACAAAGCTAAAATGCAAGTTATCTAAAGTAACCTGTATCCCTGAATAAAGCTCAAAATTAGATAAATAATAAAAGAAAACCTATCACCAAGCAATGTTTGGCAACTAATAAAAAATTACCAGGCATGTAAAATATGACCCATAATAGTCATCTACATGGAAAAGCCCACATGTGACACATTAGTAGACAGAATCAGCAGATAAGGGCATCAAAGGAGTTACCACACATCCCGTATGTTTTAGGGGTAGAAAAAAGCATAAGCATGCTCAGGAGAGACTTCAAAGAAATCTAAAAGCCAAAAACTGAAAATCTAGAAGCAAAAATACAACACTGAAGATAAAAGTACACTGGATGGGATTAACAGATTAGATGTTACAGAACAGATTAGTGAACTTAAAGGCAGAACAACAAAATTTTCCAGACTAGAACATGGAGAGAGATTAAAAAAAAAAAAAAAAAAATGAACAGGGCATCAGTAAACTGTGAGTCATAATATTCATGTCATTAGAATTAGGGAAGCAACATATCTGAGAAAACATGGTCTATACTTTTACAAATTTGAAGCAAATTATAACCAACAGATCCAAGAAGCTCAAAGAAACCCAAGCAGAAGAAACATGAAGACAACTACACAAAGGCATGTCATAACCAAATTGCTTAAAACAGATGATAAAAAGAAAATCTTAAAAACAGCTAAGGAATAAAGACACATTACACATTGAGGAACAAAGGTATGAAAGATAGAATTCTCACTAGAAAAATGCAAACCAGAAAACAGTGGAAGAGCATTATTTAAAGCGTGGAGGGAAAAACAACATCAACCTAGAATTCTATACCTTATGAAATTATCTTTCAAAAAATGAAGCAAAAGAGAAAGTCTTTTTCAGAAACATAATTCAATGGTGCTAGATGTTTTTATAATATAAACATGGATAATTCTTATAATTTCAAAAAATTAACTATATTCCATAAGTACAATAAATATTCTATAAATAAATATGGATGTGCTCATAGTAAAAAGTAGCCAAGTCTGGGGTTATTAAGCAGAAGGAAGATAGGTTTAAAGACAATACTGTTATTTACTTCAATGGGTAGAGCCTCACCAAAGATGAAGGTCAGGTGATAACAGGCAGAAGAGAGGGAAGAAGGCCTTGAATAACAACAGAAGAGTTTAGATCCATATGACAGATTATAAGGAGCCCCTGAAGTTTTCTGAATAGAGAGATAAGAAAAGTGGTAATTGAAGATATATTAGCAAATCAGATATATGATAGAGAACTGGTAGTATCATATAAGTGAAATGAAGCTCAGGGAAGTTTCATTAAAAAAAATTGTGCTTATAATTTCAATTCTAGATAAGAAGAAATCTACCTTCCTCCAGGACAAGGACTCCCCCAGTTATAAGGTCCTCATGGTGGATTGTGGGCCAGGAGCCCAGGTGAAAGGGATATCTAGAGGACACCCACTCTCCCTACTCCCCACTCCTTATCATCTTCTCTGGAGCATTCCTGCATTATCACTGTCCGCTAATTAAAACAACAATTTGATGGTTAACATGGAAGTTAAGAAAATTCTTCAGTAAAAAAAAAAAAAAACAGAAGTTTTCTAAGATAAAATTTGGTAAGGTGATCTTGAAATGACCTTTCAAGTCTATATCCAACACTAAAATGCACTTATGCCTTTGGCTTTTGGCTTTTGTCCCCCTTGCCTATATACAAGAAATCTGGGAATAAATTAAGCTTTCTATCATTCTGTGGATTAACAAGAAAAAGTTATTTAAGACAAGAAGTTACAAGTTCCTTTTTAGAATTTCTTCCTTTTTTAAAATAAGTTACCACTACTTACTGAAAATCATTCATTCAATCATTCATTCACTGACATAGTCTCTACATTCAATGGGGGGTTTGAACTCATGATCCTGAGATCAAGAGTCCCATGTTCTACCAACTGAGCCAGTATAGCATCCCTCTTTCTTAGAATTTCTTAATAAAGTACCTAAACAATTGAGTTAAAAATGTTACAATCATCCAAAGGGACCCAGAACCACTGAGGATTTCCTAAGCATAGTTAGAAGAATAAGGCTAATAACCAACACAACCTAAAATAACCAGAAAAGAACAAAGACCAAATGATAGCTAACTTGAACATCACACAGGTGAGCTTCCATGATTTTTGGCAAAGGCACATTTTTTAAAAGAACCTGGCACTCATTTTACCTTATCCTGCTCCACACCAGGCTCTCTGTACACAGTCCATCTCTGTCCATCATCACTGTATAGGATTTTATAGGCGGACACATAGTAATTGTGTTCCACCATGGTGGAGCCAGTGGTCACAATGCCTGGGGAATGGAAAGTTGCTTTCATTAGTGCACGGGTCTGATCTTGAAGTCTATTCAGCATTGAAGCATAAATACCTAAAGTATACTGTTAAAACATCTTTGCCAAAAGCACATTGCCATCTCTAAGTGCAAGGCTTCATTATAATAGCAACTAAATCCTTGGCTTTGTTCCCTTGTAAAGATACAAGAATTATGAGCGCACATAAGGAAAAGACTATTCTATTTTGACAGCTTGTGTTCATATCACTATAAAATATATCTCACCTACCATGTAACAATGACTCCCTGGGAATGAATGGATTAAAACAATTATATTTTTCAGTGCCAAATCAAAATTACCTAAACCAGTTCTAATATATTATTCTGACCATTTGATAAATTGCCCCAAATAAATCTGGATTCAGCACATGCAGAATATTATTTATAGCACTTAAAATGAACTCCTTGAACATAAATTTCTTTTAATAACTCTAAGAGATGCTTATTTCAAATGTCAAGATCACTTAATTGAAACGTTACCTTTAAAGATCCTTATTACAATGAAAAAGAAAAGCTTAAAAAAAAAAAGGAGAGAGACAAAAAGCTAAAAGAAATCAAATGCCAACTCCTTTCCTCTGCCACATTTTATAAACCTACCTTCAGGAATATTTAACACCAGTAAAGAAAACTTAAAACCATACAATTACATTTGCAGTAACCTAATTTTCTATGAACATCTTGGATGTCTTCAGGTTTCCAGATACAATCAGAATTATAATCATTCTAGAAAGTTATGTCTCTTAACCTGTTATCTTCTTTTCTTTATTCAGATCTATTTGTAACCACTGATATTCATCAGTGGCAAAAGCAGCCCAAGGAGGTCCAGGTTTCTTCAGCCGGGCCTTTTCGGGTCTCCAGCTGTTCTCTTGCCCTGTGTGGTCAGTCCACTCTAGCACCGATGATGCTGTTATTTGAGGATCGGCAATCACACCAGATTCCATCCCCAGTGTTCCATAACACCCTGAAACAAAAAAGATAGTAACTTGGTTTCCAGATATAAATTCAGGATCTGTATAAATCTGCTCATTGGAAACCTTCTAGTGCACATGCCACTAACATATAGTATGCTAGTAATGTGCTCTAACAGAGGAATTTCAAAAGTAGGCAAATGTTTCTTGGGTCCATGTCTCTGTGTCTCATCAGGCAATGTGCATAATATTTATTTACAAGCAATAACCATCAATTTAATGGCAATACATTATCTTCTCCCTGGAACACGATCTCCAGATCAGTGAAGGACTTACTCCCAACTGCCATTAGATGTTTGCTCAGATGTCACATTTTCCACAAGGCCTACCCGGACATACTTAAAACTCAAAACCAATCCCTCCTGCATTGCCTATCCTCTTTCCTTATTTCTCTGTATCTTCTATAATATTATATAGAGCATATATGTTAATTTATTTATCCAAGGTTTACTGTCAATCTCTCAATACCAGTATTTAAGCTCCAAGAAAGGAGGATTTTGCTTATTCTGCTCACTTTTGTTTCACTAGCACCAGGACAGTGCCTGACAAATCAAAGGCACTCAGTAAGTATTTTCTGTGGAATTAATTACTTCAGACATACTAAAAAAAATCACCTTTCCTAAGGAACTCTCTTTGCTTACATGATCATTTCCCAATTAATATAAAACCTCCAGTTTATTCCGTCCATTACATTATTGTGATATATGAGAAGGTGCCAAAAAAAAAAAAAAACACCAAAACCCCAGCAATTGGCATATTGCATGATAGTATTTAAATAATATTTATTATTATACACATTATAATAAGTTACAAAGTCCATGAGAGGCTTACCACTTGTCTTAAATGTAAAAAGACTTGTAGATAAGTGTCCCCTGAAAGAGAAAAGTTATTCTTGGTGACACTCATATACTGACTTCCCCATATTTGTCTTAGTAAAACTTTTTCTTTTTGTTTTAAAATATAAAGAACTAAGGGTATTCTATGGCCATACATATGACAACTAATGCTGCTCTTAGCCAAAAAAAGGTCTCATTTCAAAGCAGAACAACTTCTGAAATCAACATAAACAATTTTCTCTGCAAGTGTGCCCATGTGCCCTCTATTTATCTTTCGTGGAAATACACTGATTCCTCGAACTTTTCCGCATCATTTGCTTTTGTTGCAAGTATGCTGTAATTCCCAGAGAATGAAGCTTAAGCTTCCGGGGGTAAACAGAAAAAAAGCTGGCCACAAAGAGGAGAGACTGCATTTGGTACAGGAAACAAATATAGCTAAGAACAAGTGTCAGCGTGATAATGCAGCACCCCATGTGGGTTTCAAAGAATTGGCAAGTAAATGCAGCTGGGGAGAATGGAGCCGAGGGACACATGACTAGTTTACCAAGGACTCTAAAGAACTTGAGGGGATAAAACCATTAGTGTATGCTCCCGCCTTCAGCACAACATTCAAACTGTTATTACAAGTGGATGCAACCTGTCCTTATTTTTTCCTTAGAGTATGAAAGAAAGAACTGACAAAAAAATTATTTCTAAAGGCAGAAGAGGAGAAAGGAATGATAAGGTCTGCATAAAATCATCTAGAAGAAACCAAGAGAAGGAAAGGTTTCTAACTCTATACCAGGAATGGGCAAATGATAGCTTGCTCATGTATGGCCTGTTTTGTAGGGCCAGAAAGCGAAGAATGGTTTCTACATGTTTAAAGAGATTTAAATGAGCCAAGAGAGGATAAGTGACAGGGACATTTGGCCCATAAAGCCTACTATATTTGCTAGCTGGTGCTTTGCAGAAAAAGTTTGGTGACTCCTGTTTTATACTGTCATGGATATGGATCATGCTCTCATCTTCTGAATGAAAACTGGCCCAGAATCTCTGAAGAGAAGCTGGTTTCAATTAGGCTTAGTATTGTCTACAGAACTGAGCCCATCTAATAAGCAAGATTTACCAAAACAGATTCCAAGTATCGCATTTCTATTTAATGTTTCAACTTTTCCTGCTTTTGATGCCTAGTCTGTGTTTCAAAAAACAGATCACTGTAGTGACCATAAAAATACACTCTTAAAATATCCTCTTTGGAGGAGAGGAGGATTCATAATAGGACTACCTCTGACTTATGTCAAAATTTAATTTATAGAACATTTCAGTTATCCTCAATCCATCTAGGTCAAACAGGCTACAAGAAACAGAGTAGTTACGCCTTCTTTGAAATGAAGTAAAAATTTGGCCACAGACTTTTAGACCCTTACTCTAGAATTTTCAAAACTCATAAAAGAACAAGTCATCCTTCTAAATGACTACCTTTGCGATGGAGAACATGCCAAGTTGTGCGACCCTGCCTGTCCTCTTCAGTACACAACGGACAACAAGCACACAAAAATGGGATGCTCATCACACAAATGTTTCATGAACACCATTAACAGTGACATTGCCGAGGTCTAACTAGCTGGTATCCCACTCCTGCCCCACACCCTTCCTTATATAACCAATAACGTAGGTACTTACACCACAGACGTGACGTTGTTAGCCAAAGAACTCTCATAGTATGGGATACCTTTACTAATTACAACACTGATTTGGCCACCCAAAATGTTTGACACTACTCCTGCGTGCACACCAGCCATACACAAGGGCGAGGACTTGAAGAAAGGAAAAACGAAAGATTAGTATTTAATTTTCTTTGATAATTTATAAACAAGACACTCAGGCTTCCTCAAGAAATGAGTCAACTGGGGCAGTTTTCTCAATAGACATAGGATTACTGATGTGGTAACACAGTACAGACTTGTAGCACAAGAAAAAGAATAAAATATCACATACATAATACTAAAAAGAAATAATTCCCAGAAAATAAATCAAGATTAAAGATATATAGAATAGGTACAGCAACCTATTCTGGAGTTAAAAAAAAGAAAGTTCTATCACAACTTGAACATAAGTCTATGTTGCTTAGACTTACATCTCTATATCCATGAGGGATTGTTCCAGATATCTCAGCAAAAGGAAGCAGACAACCAGCTGGGCAGTACTTACTGTGAAATAAAAACAAGTTAAAGGGTATAAAATAGTTCTGTTCTTACTGGGGAGAAAGAACAACAACAAAAAAATCACATAGTTCATTTTTCAGTTCATTCAAATACTATAATCTCACTACCCTGAGAAGCACCACTTCTAAAAAGCCCTTTCAGACTTTATTCCATCCATCCATATAAAACCTCTTCGCCCACATATTTAAAATAATTGTGTCATATTCTACATACTGCTTTATTTTACTTCATAATGAATGACAGACATATTTTTACGATAAGACCTATTATATTTAACAGCTACATGCTGTTCTATTTTGTGGATAAACCACGATTTATTTCACCAACCCTCTACTGATCCAATTTGACTTAAAAATGTTTGGCATTCATTCACTCATTCACTCACTTCTCCCACCCAGCCACTCAACACAGTTACCCGAATGTCTATTATGTTGTCTGTTGAGTGCTGGGCCGTGCTAGGTACTGGGTTTACAAAACATCAACCAAATAAACATGGCCCAGTCTTCCCTGGGTTTATACTCCTGAGGTTGGGGGAAGACATTAAACTAACACTTCTATGAGTAATTAATCAGATTATGATTCTGCTATGAATAAAAGGCACTCCATGAAATAGCTAGGAGAAAGCAAACATAATCGAAGTAATACAAACATTCAGTAAATTTACTATGTGCCAGGCAGCCTTCTCAGTACCTCAGGAACCACACAAGAACCCCAAAAGTAGGTACTAGTATTATCCTCATTTTACAAATGAGGGAACTGAGAAACAGTGTGCCCAGCTCCCAAAACTGGGAAGTGGCATGTGGGCGCCAGAGTCGATGCTCTTACACAGGGCTCTGCACTGCCCAAGTCGGGAAATGGGGCTTTGAGGAAGTGAAGCCTCAGCAAAGGGAGGGAAATGCACCCGAATGGATGGAACAGTAGGCTCATAAGGAGAGGTGACCTGTTTGATTCTTCAGCTGAGGACGACCATGTGGGCAGAGTACAGTGAGCTCTGGAAAACTAAACTGTTAAGTTTAGGCTTTTCCTTTAAGGCTTCGTGCAGAGCCTTGTGGACTATGGGAATGAAGATTATTCTGGCTCCTGAGAAGCAAGAGCTGGGAGGAACCCTGAGACCTCGGTGGGCTGGGGGCGTCGCAGTCCAGGCAAGAGAAATCGGCAGCTTGCCTGTGGGTGCTACTGATGGAGTGGAGAGCAGGGGCTCTAAGACCCTGCGGCAGGCTGTGTGCCACACACTGAGGCCAGAGTCCTCTCTGCTGACCGAGATCTTCCGTAAGTGCTGATGAGCACACCCATCATGCAGACAGAGAACTTTCTTTGAAGACACAATGAAGGCTGCTCTTTGGGAAGTGGTAGCAAGTAGGGGGCAGGTTAGTGAGACCGGTCTTAGAAGGTGAGAATAAATGTGCCAAGCAGAGTGGAGTAAATCAATTCTGGGCAAAAGTTCTGAGAGCTCAGAGCAGTGGAAAGGATCCATAAGTATGTAAGATGAGACTGGAAAAATGGTCCAAGGGCTACCTGTGAAAGATCCTGAAACCCAGGCTAAGAAATCTGGATGGCATTTTGTCTTAGTAATAAGGAGCTCCCGAAGATTTTAAAGCAGGGGAATGATCAGGCATTTATTTTAGAATGAAATTTGGCAGCAACGTGAGCGGCAGAATAAAAGCCAGCAAAGGTTAGAAATGGAAAATCAAATAGAAGGGTTTCCCAGTCCAGACAAGAGACAAGGATATAAAGCAGGGAAACAGTAGTAGAAATGCTGCTTGGGCAAGAAGACTGAAGAATTCCGTCATAGCCTAAATCATTTTCTTCCCTTTTTTGAGGGAGAAAAAAAAAGCTCCTCTAACTTCATTAGCAATTTTGCCAGATTTTTAAAAGTAACCAGTTCTACTTTTAAAGTATTATTAAAATACTTTACTTTCATACTATAATACTTTCATTATAGAAAAGATCCAAATGCTACAATTAAAGCAAAACTGAAACATGGTAACTCAATGGCTTTAAATAAGCTGTAATTTATTGATATCTTAGAATATTTATTATATGTCACACCTGTGACACATACAATAATGCACATTAATCATAAGTGTTTAAGAATAATGGAGAAGTGGATGAAGAGTAATATTTAAGGGGAAAAAAGTCACAAATATGGTCATACCTGAACTCAGGTTCCAAAAAACTGGATGCAGTGTCTAAGCAAGTAATTAGATCTAGAAAAACAAAAATAAAAAACGGATTCAGTAATATATAGGTGTATGTATGTTTATGTATGTTTATGTTCATGTATGTTTATGTTTCTTACTGAAACACCAATTGTTTCCAAATCCCAAATGATATTGTTCTAAATTTTAAATCTCAACAGCTGTCAAGGTAGGACTAGTAAGTTTCTACAAGTTTTTGTTAGTCATGATTTCTTTTTGGTTTAAAGTATCTTGATTTCTGGGGCGATGCCTCTCCTATACTGTTTGTTACCACACCTCCTCATAGAGTCCTCTGTGTTGTCTATATACATATACAGACACACATATACACACATACATAAGGTACACAGGTAAGTATAATGTATAGACTTAAAATAACTTCTACAAAATACAGCTCCTGAAAAAAGAAAATTACTATATAACTAAAAAGTGATCCTCTGCTAATTACACACAACGAAAACAATGACAAGAAAGATGAATTAATTTTGTTACTCTAAGGAACAGATACTGAAAATCTAGTCCATGGCCAGGACGAGCAGCACCAGTTTATCTTCTGCAAACTAACAGAAATTCAAATTCTTGAACACCATCCAGATTTACAGAGTCTCTGGCAGTGGAGACCCAAAAATCTGCTTTAACAAAAGCTCCAGATAAGTCTTAAGCACACTGAAGTTGAAGAAACACTAATCTAAATAAGAAGTAACTTTAAAATTTAACATTTCTATCCAGAAATCAAATCGGAATAGGAGCTAACCTGTTTCTTTCATTAAGACTTAGTTTGTAGGCTGGGGAAAAGGTGGCTGTTGGTTCCAACAGGTCAACATCACCCTTCTGCTCTAGGACAGAGGGCCAAGTCCTCAACACAGCCCACAGGTCTGGAGTGGTGGCCTGGTCCTGTCTAAGTCTGGTTTTGTACCTGTGCTGGGTTCCTGCCATACTAGCCTTCTTTGGTTCCCCTGGCACATGCTACCCACTTTACCTGGCATGACTTTCTACTGTCCCTTCATCTTGCTAGCTTAACTGGCACTTCCTTACAGATGCTCCTCATCTTCACAGGTCAAACACCCTGAGCACACAGTAGGCACCTATGTTTTTTTTGGTTGTTTTAATGAGTAGTTGACTATTATGTGTTCTCAAAGTACCATGTGTTATGTAAGAACAATCCACTGACGCAGCTGTACAGTACTGAGTATCATTGCATGATGCCTGGTCTATGGACACCTTTGTTTTGTCAGCAGCAATCACAGCATATGGCATAACAAGAGGCTTTCAATCAACATTTATTGAATAAAGGGAAGAATAAAAGTTTGTGACTGTTGGCATGTTTGGCTAAGCCCAGTCATGGACTAATTTGTATGGAGGTAAACCTAGAAGGCCCTAATAAGGCAATCACAAAGGTAAGTGATTTCACATATAAATGCTTGGCCGAACAAGTGTGCTGAGGGTGACAATACACTGAGATAACACCCCACAGGCATCCTGGCATGCTGACAGCATGCAAATAGTCATTACATTTCTTTTTCCTTCTTTGGTCAGAAAGAGAGAGAGAACGCAGAAGCATATAAGGCAGCAGGCAGAGAAGCAGGCTCCTTGCTGAGCAGGAAACCTGATGTGGGGCTCGATCCTAGGATCCTGAGATCATGGCCTGAGCCGAAGGCAGATGCTCAACCAACTGAGTCACCCAGGTGACCTGAATAATTTAATGAATAATATAATTAAATTAATGGCTACCACAGCAAGCACAGATAACTGATTATGTTATAATTCTGAAGAAATTATGTGATTATCACCCAAATGAAATGTGTCTTGGAAGAACTAGAGCACAACTGTTACACCAATAAGAAAGTGATATTTGAGAGCAATTACATGGATTAATACACCACTGGCACTTGAATGATGATCAAATCTGTGTTGTAGGAGTTTAGAAGAATACATGCCTGGATACGGGTTCATGACTACCTGACTGAGTGACCGAGAAAAGTAGACTGAATTACCTATACCCTGGTTATTCCTGGCAATCTTCATGCTGCATCAGTTGGAACTGATTTTCTACTTTCCAGCTCTACCAACAGGATTTCTAACTTCTAAGATTAAAAGTTGAATGTCTTTAAAAAAAAAAAAAAAAAAGTTGAATGTCTAAAAGTAATAGCCTGGGATGCAAAGGTAACTGTGTGGTCCAGCGTGGCATTCAAAACCACAAGAAGACTGCCAGTTGGCCTCAGTACTTTCAGGCCATGTGCCAGAATGCTGGCCAGCTACAGATATACTTGATCAGACCAGTGCTTTATTCTAAATCCATGCAGCGCTGAAACTCCAGATAATGCTATGCAAATGTATGCAACTCACTTGACCTCACTTTCAAATTCCACAGGGCCTCAAAAGAGGTCCCTAGGAGAAAAATAAGATTTCAAAATGGACAGCTATGAGGAGAGCCAAGAACACTAAAGACAGAAAAAGAGAATCACAATTACAAATACCAAGCTTTATAACTCCACAGAGGAAAAGAAAACTTCAAGCCGGCAATTAAGATGTTTTAAAATGTGTCTTTCCTGAAAGCTTTTCCCAAGTAAACAGCCTTCCAGAAAACCACTATTACTATAAGACTCCCAGCTAATAACACAGCTTAGGCAAGATGAATACAGATTAAAAGAAACCATCTGCCTCACAGCCTTCTGATAGCAATGTATAAGAAGTTGTAATGAATGGAACAGAAGTGAGAGTCCAGAAGTAAGTTCTAGATTTAAAGTCAACTGATTTTGATAAGGATGCTGAAACAATTCAGTGGGGGAGGAAGAATGGGCTCTTTGACAAATGGTGCTGGGACACGAGGATATCCACATGCAGAAGAATGAAATTGCACCCCAACCTCAAGATCCCATACAAAAATTAAAGGGGATCTAAATTTAAGAGCCAAAACTATATCTCTTAGAAGAAACTGTAGGTATAAATCTTGACCTTGAATTAAGCAATGTTTTCTTAGCTATGATACCAAAAACATAAGTAGCCACACAAAAATACATAAATTGAATTTCATCAAAATTAAGAACTTTTATGCTTCAAAGAATCCTATCATAAAAGGGAAAGGTAATCCACACAATGGGAGAAAACACTTGCAAGTCATATAATCTGATAAGGATCTAGTACCCAGAATAAAGAATTATTCCAACTTGATTTTAAAAAGACAACTCAATTTAAAAACGAGCAAAGGATCTGAATAGACTACTCCAAAGGAGACATACAGATGGCCAATAAGCACATGAAAAGATACTCAACGTAACTATCAGGGAAATGCAAATCAAAGTCACAATGAGAAACATGTTATACCCACTGGGATGTCTAGAATCAAACGGACAGAGAGTAACAAGTGTTGACAAGGATGTGGAGAAACTGGAACCTGCATGTACTTCTTGAGGCATTTTTTTTTTTTTTTTAAATATTTATTTGACAGAGAGAGAGATCACAAGTAGGCAGAGAGGCAGGCAGAGAGAGAGGGGGAAGCGGGCTTCTTGCTGAGCAGAGAGCCCGATGTGGGGCTCGATCCCAGGACCCTGAGATCATAACCCTGGCCGAAGGCAGAGGCTTAACCTACTGAGCCACCCAGGTGCCCCTTCTTGAGGCATTTTTAAATGGTGTAGCTGCTTTAGAAAAACAGTTTAGCAGTTTCTTTAAAAAGGGTAAAGAGAGAGATACCATACGACCTAGCAATTCCACTACTAGAATATACCCCCCAAAATGAAAATATATGCCCATCAAACACTTGTACATGAATGCTTATCAACTAATGAATGGATCAATCTGGTATATCTGCACAACAGAATATTACTCTGCCACAAAAAAGAATGCAGTACTCATATATGCTACAACATGACCTCTGAAAACATGCTGAGTGAAATAAGCCAGCCACCAAAGCCCCCACATTATATGACTCCATTTATATGAAATATCCAAAACAGGTAAATCTATAGAGAAAAGTAGATCTGTGGTTACCTAGGACTAGAGAGGGAGAGGGTTAAGGGGTAGGGAAAGGGGTGACCACTAGTGACTGTGGAGCTTCTTCTGGGGTGATGAAAATGTTCTAAAATTGACTATGGTGATGATTGCACAACTGTAAATATACTGAAAATCAATGAACTATGTATTTTGAGTAGGTGAAATATATGGTGTAATAAAAGCTTTAAAAGTGAAGAAAAAGAAGCATCATAAAAGTAGTCACAATTTTTCTTTATATAGAGCACATGTGCATTGAGGGATGAAATAAAGCCTAGAAAAAGAGCCAGGACTGGCAGTTTGCTTGTTTATTCATTCGTTCATTTATTCACTCAACAAATATTTAGTAAGTATGTATTATGACTAGGTGTTGTTCTAGGCACTAGAGATAAAGAATCTCTGCATACAGAAAGGGCACCTGTGGGGGGGGATAAGAGAAAATAGTATGAATAAGAAACAGACACTATCTTTACAAGTGATAAATACATTAGAAAAAAATAAGGAAACAAAAGCAGGTAGGAAAAGTTAAGTGGTTGCGATTTTAAGGAACACAGGACAGATCTTACTGAAAAGGTGGCAGGTAAATAAAACTCTAAAACAGGTGAGGGAGTGAGCCACGGGTGTGGGGATAACAAAGGATAGGCAGAGGGAATCACAAAAGGCCCTGAGCAAGAAGCACACTTAGCATGTTTGCTACCAGAGCGAACAAGGGAAAGAAGATTAAGAGCTGAAGTCAGAGAGGAGTGACCTGGAGATAAGGACACTGAGCAAAGTGAGAAGAGACCCTCATTTTAATAGGATCATACTCGCCATCAGGTTGAGAGTAGGCTGAAGGGGAGAAAGGACAGAAAGAAAGGTCAGCGAAAACATCTCTGGTCATAGCCGAGGTAGAGGTAGATAACCTGAATGGCAGTGGCAGCAGGAGGTGTTGATGTGGTCAGAAGCTGATACATGTACGTAAAGACTCTGAGAAGTGGCTAATGAACATAAAGTTTGAGGGAGTCAACGACAACTCTAAGGTT